CGGGGGAACGGGACAGAGACCGAGACACTGCCGGGCGGTGTGAGGGGAACGGGCGGGGGAACGGGATGGGGACCGGGCTGTGAGAGGGGAACTGGGACAGAGAACAGGCACGGTGTGACGGGGGACCGGGACGGGAACGGGGACAGGGGCCGGGGCGGTGTGAGGGGAACCGGGACAGGGAACGAGGTGGTGTGAGAGGAACCGGGATAGGGAAACAGGCCGGTGTGAGGCGATCCGGGACGGGGGAATGGGACAGGAAGACGGGATAAGGATCGGGGCGGTGTGAGGGGACTCCGGGACAAGGAAACGGGACAGAGAAGCGGAACGGTGTGAGGGACGGGACGGGAACCGGGGCGGTGTGAGGGGTGCTGGGAGGGGGAACCCGAGGCAGCCGGTCATGGGGCAGGAGCCTTCCTGCGGCAGGGCCTCTCACGAACGCCAAGTTCAAAAACTGGAATTACCGAAGAAATGAAGGAGCTTTAACCTAAATTTCGAGGTAAACCCAGAAAAGAACCAGTGCCCGTGTCAGAGGCTGGATCCTACGGCTGGCGTGAGGAACCGCACGGTGCCGCGTGCGTTGCTTTCCCGTGAGGCAGATTTTTGGAAAGGCATGTATTTAGGGAGGGATTAAGATCCAAAATCTTAATGAATTCAGCTGTCACGAGGAACTGGTAAATTTGAACAGTTCTCATGCAGCATAGTACATTGCCCTAAACTTGCCCCTTTTCAACATGAACCACCACGAAATACTTCAGAATCCCACAGCTGGAAAAATGACGTGGTTTTACATCTGTTTCTGCTTGTGCAGAAATAGTACCATCGTGTGAAAGATTCCAAGTGGTCCTATATCCCCCCTCACCAGCTCAGACTCACATTGCCATGATAAAGCAGGCCAGCATTTCCCATCTCCCGAGCACGGTGGTGGGTATTCCAAAGGCACACAACCAGTTAGACCAACAGTGATAAAATCCACCAAACCAGGGGGTTCTTAACTGTCATTAATGATCGACCCAGGGAGCATAGGCCATAAAGCATGAATTAACTTCAACTTATGAAATACTTAACAACTTTTCTATGCTAATTGCTAATTCTGTTGCACCGACTTCTATTACAGTTAGAAAACTTAAGTTTCATGGCTTAATTCTGTGTGTTAATTTCAAATATTATTTTACTGTAAAAGGGTGAAGACAGGTACTGCTGTTAAATTACACACTTCAATGGCTGCTAAAGCAGTACAATTCCAGCTTGTGAGAAGTCAGGTAAGTAACCATCAGGTGCCATCCAAAAGTGTCCCTTAAGCACTGAAGATGCCTGCTTCTCCAGTCTGTACCCTTCCCAGCCTTGACTGATGGTCAGTGCTCCAGAATCCAAACAAAGTAATTTGCCAGAGTGGCTGATCCAGGGACCAACTGTGTGGTTTCTCTTATTTGGGAAAAGCAGGACTGATGCAGACACTCACCTGTGCAGGTTCTCAACCCTCCCCTTCAATATCGTACCTAAGGCCACCCCTTCCATAGACAGCAGCCGTGTTCTTTGGAGAATTTTATTAAAATATATCCAAGAAGTAATCAAACATTTTCTTATGAGTCAGGAGAGAACCGAAGTGAGAAAAACATCTGTACAGAGGACAGTGCTGTAAGTTTTTCTTTACATGCTTTATTTCAATGTTTCACAGTTTAGTCATTGTCTACAAAAATATATTTCTGAAACTCTGAGTCCTCTATAAAAAAAGCTGGTCAGCAGCAGTGACCCTGACAAACAGAATGTACCTTGGGACAGTGTGAGCACCTCCTGTAAGCAGATTAGTGCAGCTAGGGCACTCCTGCCTCACCCTGGGAGACTTCTGTTCTTTGGGATTAAAGCTCTGCACTAGTTCTGAAGGAAGGCATTAAAAAAAAAAAAAATCATTCCACTTCTGTATACTGCACTAAGCTTGGGAGGGGGAGCTGCAAGTCAGTGTATCACACAGCAGAAAGTGCTAACAAAGCACTTGGCACTCAGGGAAAGGAGAAGACCTCAGGGTGCTTTAGTACTGGTACATTTTTCTTTGAGCTCTCCGTTCAGAACAGCCTTTGTCTGGTGATAATAGGTTCAGGCTGTCAGCAGAGGTACAAATGGCAAACAGGCAGAGTAATCCTATAAGCGCAAAGAGAGTCCTTTTTTGAGGACAGGATAAGAGTTCTGTTCAGTTTTACATCAACATTTTCTGCTGTGGCTTTAATCAAGGGGAAAATTGCCTTCAAAACCAATCACAAGTTGTTGGATAGAACAGAGCCACTATCAGTGCTGTCAGCTTCAACTCCTTAGTACCCATAACTGGAAATATTCCTTATAACATCAATTATTTAATTCCTACGCTTACTAGTCACCAGTGTATCTAGCCACCACAAATAAGAACTGAGAAACTCAAGTGTCCCCCAAATGAGATCTTTCTACTCTTCCTCTGCTCAGTTATTTGACTGGTCTACAGAGATACCTGCAGTTAAGAAAAAAAAATAAATTGCCTCTTTTAAAAAAATAAATCTATCTTGCATTGTGCTCTAGAAAAGACAAGGTCAATGTACTCTGATCCTCAGAGCTCATCAGTAGAAGCCCCTTACCACAAAATAATCTCAGACCTGAACCCCTAAGCAGGGCAGGAATTTTCAGCAGCGAGTAAGAGTAGTTATTGACAGACTGCTTCCCTAATGTGGTAACAGACAGAAAATGAGCTCTCTGAAAACTTTTCCACACCTGCCTGTCAGAAGAAGTTTTCTGAGCCAGCAGCTTGTGAAATCTAGATTTCCTTGAGATTAGAGAATTCAGGAAAGTGCTGCTGGTTATTTTAGGTACATCTGCAATCAATGGGCTTCTCTAGGCTTTTGTTCAGAAAAAGTTCTCCTGTAACTTGTGCCTACCACCAGTCCCAGTCTGATCTGCTAAACCTGAGCAGCCAAGGAGGTATATGAATTTTAAGTAGAATCAGCATCATCCACGAAAACACAGAAGCCATGAACCTTCACTGAGACAAATACCTTATCAAAAAAAGACACTCAGCACTAGAAAACTAATATCATCTCACTAATGCTAAACAGTTAAACTGTAAAATCTGTAAGAAAACACCTGAAGTTTACTTCTTGACTATTTTCCTTTCTTGAATTGCTGGGGGGAGTGAGGGGGTGGAGGAGAAAGGAAAGAATCACTTCACTGTATTAGTAGTAAGCCAGTATATAGAAGGCAGTGTTGGAGAAAAATTTAAAACCAGGAAAAAAATCTGAAAACTTACTGATTCCGAAAGCTTTCCTCACCTTCCCAAACTCAACAGCCTAAACAGGATTTTCATCCTCATACTTCAAGTTGTTTTTCCAGTCTGTTCCCATCTGTTCAGCTTCCAGTCACAGACACACAACAGAGAGAAGAATCAAGGGAGGCTGAGAAACCCACACATAGGGTTTTGCCTCCCATATAGCACCTACTTTATATATCAACATGAACAAATCAATCAGAAATTGTTACGTCCTGTGCACAGAAAGCCTGTAACTAAAGTGTAACAAGATGAAATTAAAAGAAGATTTGGAATTAAAGAAAAATTTTGTCCCGTGGAACCTCTTTTTCTGAAGACTCCACACCCCACAAAGAAGCTGTTCATATTCAGTCGTTTGTGAACTGGAAAAGACTTGTCAGCAACAATCCTGCCTTGGCTTCGGGTGAAAAGCTGAGAGTGTTCATTCTCCTTTAGTATCACAAAGCTTATTTACATAAAACAAACCACTGTCTGGCCTTGCCCTGCCCTGCCACAGAGATGCAGGATATCAGAGAATCATAGAATATGCTGAGTTGGAGGGCACCCATCAGAATCAGAGTCCAACTCCTGGCCGTGTGCAGGAGACCCCAAGAATCCCACCAAGTGCCTGACAGCGTTGGCCAAACGCTTCTTGAACTCAGACAGGCTTGGTGCTGCCACCGCTTCCCTGGGGAGCCTTTTCCAGTGCTCACTCATCCTCTGGGTGAAAAACCTTTTCCTGACTGTCAAAAGCCTTCTCCATCAGCACAGACAAGTGGGATGTCACCTCTAGCTGATGCAGTTATGCAAAAAAGAAAAAAACAAACCTGTAGCATAAAGTTTAGAATCCCAGCACGATGGATACCTTGTGGATAAACACTGCCACAGACTGTGAGGTACTTGTGTGTGAGGAACCAGCAACTGCAGCTGCACATTATTGCTACTTGCTGTCTCTCAGGGCAAGCTTTTCCCATTTCTGCATTCTCCTGCCTTCTCCAAGTTACAGACTCCAGGGTGAACTATTCTGAAGCCTCACCAACACGGTGGCCACCAGAACACATTTGATGACATTTTAATCCCTTCCAAATTATTTACAAGGCTGGCTTTGAGACTGTTACTTTTAACTTCAGGCCTAGAACTGCATAGAGAAAATTTTGTATGGTCAAGAACTAGCAGTACTTGCACTACGTCTCTTCTCACAGGAAGCATTAATTAAAACAAGCAAAGTAACACACAGAGCTTAGCCTAGGCTGCATTCTATCAAGGGCATAATGAAGACAGTAGTCACAACTTCTCCAATTCACTAGTATTTTTTCTAATATTCCAATGGCTACACTTAAGAGAGGTTCAGCCAAATTAAGTTAAAGCTACAAGTCACAACTGAAAAGTGTGCACTGAAGTCTGGTGTCAGGAACACTGAGGACCATCCCTGATCAGGCGGCTTCACTTCTATTTTCGAGTGCACAAGGACAGCTCCCTGTCACAGACAACTGAAGCAGATATATGGGAAAACTCATTCATTAAGCCAAGGAGAGGCAAGGTCACTGCTGCCATGCCCCAGAGAAGGAGAAAGATTCATTGAGAGATTATAACTAAAGGGTTACAAAAAGGCAAGAACTAAAGTTTGTCGGTAATGAAATGCATTCTCCCGTCCCATATGAACAGGAAACAGTCTCTGTAGGGTGTTAAAGAAGGTCCTAGGAGGAGATTACCTCCTACTTTTTTCTGCTGCCAAAGGAGAGGAGAGAAAGACGCTGCTATTGGTCAGCAGGAATCTCTCTGTCTGCATCCAGTTTGCTCGTCTCTCCTGGGGAAGGGGTACGTGGTGCAGAGTGAGAAACAGGAGGAATCCCATGAGCTACAATCCCTTCCACTACTGGTGGTTCTGGTAGCCCAGGGGTGGCTACTCCCACTACTCCTGGAGGAAACCTAAAACCAATAGAAACATAGAAGTTACAAGCTTGTCCAACAGTTATTCAAGGAGAAAGGAGCTGTGCCCTCAGACAACTGCTGAATACAAATCCCTCTTTCTAAAAAATTCTCTGAGATAGAACACAGGAAAAGTCTCCAGAGCTGAAGAGCAGCAGTGATATCCTAATGCCAAATGACACCTGTTCACAGACAGAGATAGTCTCAGTTCACATCCTAAGCATTTGGATAAAGGTACAAAGTTTATCTCCAGTGGAAAACAGTGTGAGGCACTGTATGAAGGCACATGGAGGGCTGGGAATTCCCTCCCCATCAGCAGGAGGAATTTAAGCTGCAGTTATCTTTCACTGGGCTCCATGACAGAAAAAGTAAGGAGCTGAACTAAAAAAACACCTAGATGCGAGATGAAAAACAGGAGAACAACACTCATGAATTGCTAATGAACTATTTTTCCATTACTTCCATTCTGCCTCCATAAATATATCTGAACCTCTGTAGATCTCTCATAGAAGGGAAGGATATATTACCTACTTTGCAGATGGGAGAAAAACAGAAGGGAAGCAGCCTGCCCACAATCACTTGGCAGGTCTGTAACAGATAAATAAACTGAAATACACTCTATTTAGACCACTGAACAAAATCCACTGGACAATATCTCAATAACAGTCCACATTTGGGCTACAGGCAAGAACTGTCCTTTGTTTATACAGCCCTAATGATATGCACAACTTCTAAATGTTCAGTTCCATGCCTTTCTGGGGGGCATCCAGCAGACTTTCTTATATTAAGATATCTCTTGGGCAGGTCTTGCAAGGATTTGCAAAAATTGACTATTATGCAGCTGGACCTAAATATGACCGAGTACGTGTTAAATCCTAGTACAGGTTTAGAAGAGCTGCTGTTCAGAGCTCATATACAGAGTATTTAGGAACACAGACATACCTGCTTGCAGGTACATGTACTTCTCAAACCCGCAGAGGGATGTTGGCCTACTTCAGCAGGAAGATATGCTTGGCCAACCTACATATCTCACCTGTAAGCTGCAGCTCCGTTGAGTTCTGGGTGGACAGTTGCAGGATCAATACTGGACCACTGAGCTGCTAACAGCAAGTACTCCTTATTAACACAGTTCCTCAAAGCATCGGGTATGTGACCTGAAAGAGCACCAAGAATGACAAAAACAAACAGGACACAGGTAGGGGAGAGCTTGTTCCCTGCAGCATTTACAAAGGAGAGCAGAAAGGAAATGTGCAACATCTTTTTCATCTACCTCCACAGGATAACAGTGGGCAGGGGAGACTCTCCTCTGAGTAACCTGGTCTCTGGAGAAGACAAGACATTGATCCTTCCTTCCCACTTCTGTGATCTTGAGAAAATTATTGACCACAACCTGCAATTGCTAAGCCTCGCCCTTTCAAGAGACAACACGTACTACTTCAGGAAAAACACACAGTCTAACTGTCAAAGGAATTACTGCAAAGGATTTGGAAGATGTAGTTAAAAGGCTTCCCCAGGGATAGAAAG